AAGCACTGGAAGTATGTCAGACAAAGCGTGAGGGCCCCAGAAGGGGTCGAGTTATATGCGTCATCCCGGCTGCTGGCCAGCTCAGTCTGGCACTGAGGGATGGCTCCTTTCCTGAGGGTGGACAGACCCCAGGAAGACCCTGAAGAAGGCAGATTCATTCATTCACCAATTTTAAATCTCCCCTTGTACCAGGCACTGGTCTAAGCACCGGTGACAGTAGTGAAAACAGCAGTAAGGATCTCTCTCCCTTGGAGCTTACGTTCTAGAAATACATGAATAGTACGCCTTGCTAAGTGCCAAGGAGAAGGGGGAAGGGAGGGGGTAGGACGTCTGGGGAGGTGGGGGTGGCCACCAAGGCCTCCAGGAGATGGTGACTTGAGTCAAGGCTTCAAGGAGGTGGGGCGGCGAGGCCCGGGGCTGCCCGAGGGAAGAACATTCTGGGCAGGGGGGACAGCAAGAGACAGAGCACGTCTGGTGGCGGTGCACAGAGCCCCACGTCAGTCACGCCGCCCAGATCACACAGCTGGTCAAGAGTGGAGGGACCCGTGAAAACAAACAAGAAACTAAAAAACCACAGAGCCGCCAAACTTCCCATGAAGCTGAATTTCTTCTCTACGGCTTCCCCCTGCCCCCGCCCCCCCATTTTCCGGGACTGAGTTCCGAGATAATAAGAACCTGCATTAACTGAACTTTCAGCACGTACTGAAAGTACTGCCCTGGGTCCTGCCGGCCAGGAGCGCGTTCGTCCTCACGACCCTGCCAAGTGGGAACCGCTCCTTATCCCTGCCTTACAGACAAGGAAACTGAGATACGGAGGGGTGAAGCGACCGACCCCGGGTCACGTGACTGCCGTCTTCACCTCCCGTCAAACCTTGTAGGGTAGCGGTTGAACTCCGGGGAGCTGGGTCCAAACCCCGAGACCAGGGGCAGGTCGCCCCCAGCACCGCGTTCTCTCCACTCCCAGGTGAGGGGGTTGGCGTATTTCAAGCCTCAGTTTCCTCCTCTGTACAGCAGGGTTGACGATAGCCCCCGCTGCAGCCATCTGGGGGCCTTGCAAGTGTCGAAATGACACTTGAGTGCAGATAAAATGCTTCGCACTGTGCTCCTCGCATAAGGATGTCACACACAGCAGCTACAAGTTCCATGATGATGATGATGATGCGTCCGGCCGGTCGCCGAGGGCCAGGCCAGCTTGGGACCTCCGTGGTTCTAAGAAGCCCTCACGGGCCTCGTCCAAGCATTTTGGCAGTCGGCACACAGCCACGCCTCAGGAGGCACCAAGCCCGCGTGCCCGTGCAGGTGGCCAGGCCTGGCCGAGGGGGGCCGGGGGGGCTGGAACTGAACTTCTGTCATGCTTGCCTGTACAGACAGGCCTGCTACCTCCGGAGGAAGGGGCCCCTCCTTGAATTTTTTTCCCTTCCTCTCATTTTCACAAAGGTACTAGGTGGGCCGGCGGGGGCCCTAGCGGGTGCTGTTTTTCTATCCACTCTCCTCACAACACTGGCGACAGCAAATGCGTGGGGTTTTCCCACACCGACCAAGGCTCTGACGCCAGCTGGGCGTCCTGCAGCTCAGCTCAATTCTGACCCTGTCTCCCTGGAGGTACCGTCAGATCCCACAGGTTAAGGACTCAGTCCCGTGAGACCGCCCGCTTCGGATGTCAGTCACCCACAAGCCTGGGCCTCTGACCAGCTGTAAATCGGGGTTCCCCATGCCCCCCCCCTCTTTAGCCTTGACAATTTGCCAGGGTGGCTCATGGAATGGAGGGAGACGCTTACTTAGGGTTTACCGGTTTATTGTATAATAAAGGATACGGTAATACAGGCGAACGGCCAAATGAAGGAGATACATAGGGTGAAATCTGGAGAGGCCCTGAGCACAGGACCTGCCATCTCCCCGGGTTGGGGTTCACCACCCTTCTGTCCCATGCATGTTCACCGACCTAGAAGCTCTCTGAACCCCACAGGCTAGAGATTTTCACGGAAGCCTCAGCACGTAGTCACGATCCGTGATTAACTCAGTCTCCAGCCCCTCTCTCCTCCGTGGCGGAGGGATGTGGGCTGAACGTTTCAAGCTTCCACTCATGGTTTGGTATTTCTGGTGACCGGCCCCCATCCCGAAGCTTTCCAGGAGACTACCAAGGTCACCTCATTAGAACAAAAGACGCTCCTGTCACCCAGGAAATTCCAAGGGATTGAGGAGCCCTGTGTCAGGGCTCAGGGTCAACCACCAAATGTTAGCAACAAAGATGCTCCCAGCACCCTTATCACTTGGGAAATTAGAGGAGTTTGAGGAGCTCTGTGTCAGGAATGGGGATGAAGACCAATTATGTACGTATTTTTTATTGTATCATAAATATCACAGCTATAAACTGGTCCTTCATCGTGAGGGGCTATAGTCCAGAATACCGGCTTTGTTTTTTGGGGTTGTTGTTGTTGTTGTTAATGTTTATTGATTTTTGAGAGAGAGAGCGTGAGCAGGGGCAAGGGCAGAGAGAGAGAGAGAGACAGAATCCAAAGCAGGCTCCGGGCTCTGAGCGCTCAGCACAGAGCCCGATGTGGGGCTCGAACCCATGAACCGTGAGATCATGACCTGAGCTGAAGTCAGACACTTAGCCAACTGAACCACCCAGGCGCCCCCAGAATACAGACTTTATCACCACACTTTTCTGGTATCAGATTTCAGCCCTCCTACTAACTGGCCACACATCTCTAGCTCAAGTCTGTCCATTAAAAATGGGGAAGCCAGGGCGCCTGGCTGGCTCAGTCGATGCAACGCTTGACCTCAGAGTTGTGAGTTTGAGCCCCACGTTGGGTGTAGGGGTTACTTAAAATCCTTAAAATGGGGAAGCTAAGCACTACCTTGTAGGATAGTGATGAGGAGCAGAGGAGGTAATACAAGGAAGGTGCTGGATCTTAAGGGTCCCAGGGGGCCAGCGGCTACCTTGGAAGGGAGTGGGAAGCCTTTCTCTCTTGTCACTTTACAGCCAGAACTGGACCCCAGGCCACATGCAGGGCGGCTGGAGGGGGCAGGGGCGCTTCTGCAGGATTCCCGACCCCTGTGCAATGTGGCAATGTTACGGGAAACACCTGGCCCGGTACTGCTGTGTGCCTAGCACTTGGGGGCTGTTAGAACTTTTGAATATCACCCCCCCCCCATTGCCACCTTCCTCCTCCAGGAGGAATCAGAGCATGAAGTGGGCTGTGGCAGGGAGGCCTTTCAGCCCAGATGCTAAAGAGCCTTTGGGGGCGGGTAATGAGGAACCCCAGATGCGGTATATCTCAGAGGACGTGTGTGACCCAGGGCATTTGGAAGGAGAGTGTTCCTGGGTTTCATGCAGGGTGGATGAGGGGCCCAGAGCTCGGGTCTGTAGGTCTGGCTCTGTGATCAGCGCC